TTTAAAAATCCCTTTTAACTCCAACTGTTCTCTGGAAACAGAAGATCCAGTTATATTTCCAGCAGAATTTTATATCTTTAAGGGTATTATCCATCCTCTGCAGTGTTTGAAATGTCAGCTGGGTTGCCAAATGTTGAAGTTATGTTATAGAGTGCAGTGACACCTCCTGAAATGTAGAGAAATGGGATCATAATGTGAAGATAAAGGGAAAGAAGAGCAAAAATGAGGGAGATCAGACTGGGATGGGTGTGGGAATCAATGGGCTTTGATTTTTTTGGTGTGATGGAACCAGGCACAGGGAGCATCCGGGGAATTCCTGGCTTTCTCTTAGGCAGAACATCTGTGGAAAAGTGCCTGGGAAAGCTTTCAAAAGGTCTCCCCTTCACGGATCCTTAATTGCATTGGAATTTGTACCTCTGTGTAGGCAGAGTTGGAGCCTTGAGAATAATTCCCCATTTCATCTTCCAGCTGCCTATTGAACTGTACCCACAGGTGCATTTGTGGGCAGGTGTTTCTCCTCATTATTGCTCCTGCCATGCTCTGAGTTCACGGGGCTGGGTCCTGGTGGTGTCTCTCCAAAGAGGCAAAGCTGCTAAAATGGAAGTGACCACCCGGGCACCTTTGCTTCTGTCCCACTGCACCACCGAGAGCTGGGGGGTGGTTCAGCCTCTTCTTCCAACGCCTTGAAGGGTTTGGTTTCCTGCTCAGCTCCGTTCCTGGAGGGGTCCCAGGACAGCCCCTGCTCTGGTCACTGGTGTGAGCACAGTAACCCCCCTCTCTGCCCCTGTTTCAGGTCCTGCACCCCCGGCCATGTCCTGCTACGAGCGCTGTCCCCCCGGCTCCTGCGGCCCCACCCCGCTGGCCAACAGCTGCACCGAGCCCTGCGTGAGGCAGTGCCAGGACTCCACCGTGCTCATCCAGCCCTCGCCCGTGGTGGTGACCCTGCCCGGGCCCATCCTGAGCTCCTTCCCCCAGAACACCACCGTGGGCTCCTCGGCCTCGGCCGCCGTGGGCAGCGCCCTGAGCGCCGGGGGGGTTCCCATCAGCTCCGGGGGCTCCCTGGGACTGGGGGGCTTTGGCTACTCCGGGCTGGGCGGTGGCTACAACCGGCCCTCCCGGCGCTCCAGCACCTTCCGCGGGGGCTTCTACGGGCCCTGTTAGCGCTTTCCATGAGGGAAAAGGCGGGAAGGAATCACCAGGAATTCCGAGTTACGGCCCAAAGCGGGACTGGGCTCACGGCCACAGCTTTCACAAGCAGTCTCAGACACCCCCAGCTCCACCCGAAGCAGAGCTGTGGGAATCAGTCATTCCCTAAAATGAGGCCGCTCCTCTCGTTTTGCTCTGTATTCCCAGTCCAGTCTGTGGCTCTGCTGCTCCTCAGTGCATTTGGTGCTACCTGGTGTAAAAGTTTAATCTGGAGAGGAGGTGGGACTTGATGCTCGAGGTGCAATCCTGCACTGAAAGGAGAACTCTGCCTGTGGGATGCAGCCCAGGAGCTGTGCTGTTCTTCCCACACTGACCCCGATCTTCCCACACTGAGCCTGATGCTTCGCAGGATTTTAATCCACTCCTTGGTCTCAATAAAGTGTTGCTGTTGTGGCATCTCCAGTCTTCTGGTGTTTTTTTTTCCTTCCCCTCTTATTTTCTTCGGAAACTTTTCCTGGGTGAAATTTATCCCTGAGTGGACCCTCACCGGGCTGAGAAATTCGGGGCTGGAGAAGAGAAGGTGGTGAAGAGACCTCAGAGCCCCTTCCAGGGCCTGAAGGGGCTGCAGGGAAGCTGGAGAGGGGTGTTCATCAGGAACTGGGGTGACAGGATAGGGGGGATGGGGTCACACTGACAGAGGGGAGATTTAGGTTGGATACAGGGAAGGAATTCCTCCCTGGGAGGGGGGGGAGGCCCTGGCACAGGTTGCCCAGGGAAGCTGTGGTTCCCTTCACAGTAAAGATTTTTTTTCCCCAATATCCACCCCTAAGCCTCCTCTCTGCCATTTTGAAGCCATTCCCTGTTGTCCTGTCACTACAAGCTCTTGCAAACAGTAAATCCCTGCAAGTAAATTGGTTCTGCTAAAATTAAGGACCTGAGATTTAAGTGAGATTTGCAGCAGTTGCTCAAAGAGTCAGTTTGGGGAAAAAATTGAAGAGATTATCACGTTGTGAAGATTTGGGGCGTTCTAATAGCTTATATAAATTACTAAATCATTATTAAAAATATAAGTTATTGTAAATTCTGTAAATTACGTTGCAGCAGCTTCAGTTGTCCCCAGCAGTTAAATTGTTGCCAGCAGTGAAATTGCTCCTGGTTTATGTACCAGTCTCACCCTGGCACCAGATGAAAACCCTTCCTCAAAGCTTCTTTCATCTCCAAGACCTGAGGATCATTTGAATGCCTTGTTCCCTCACAAGCCAGACTCCCAAGTCAACACAATGACAGGAATTTCAATTCATGGAGTAATTTGTCAGCTCTTGGGGCAATTTGGTGCCTCCCCAGCCTGGCAGCACCAGCTCGTTACACAAAGGGCTTTAATTGAGTGTGGGGAGTGTGAAACTCCGTCCCTGGTCCATGAGCCGGGGTTGGTGTGTCCCTTGGAGCACCCAAAGGCTCCCAAGCTTTTGGGTGAACCCTGGGTGCCAATTACCAAACTGGCAGAGTATCAATGCCAACATTTCCAGGCTGGTAATGAGCCTTTTTTTTTTTTTAAATATTATCTACCCTCCGAGACAAACTGTTTCTGTGCCCAGAGGGAAGAGTGAGGGAGAGGAAGCATTCCTTGGTTATCTCAGATGAAAGGGAGTTGAATTCTTTGGGTGAGTGATTTCACCTACTAGAAGGAATTAATTTTTTTAAAATATCTAAAAAGACTGTAGATAGTAGAGATTTTGAGGAAAGGCAAGAAAAAGACCCTTTTTTTCTATAGAAAAAGCTTTTATAAAAAAAGGAGAGAAGAATTTTCTTGCAAAGAAAAAATGATTTAAAGATTTTATAAAAAATCAATATTTGGCTTAATATTTTTTTAATAAATTATAAAAACATTTAATAAAATAACTCAAGATTTTGAAGTTGCTTACCTGAATTCGTTTGTGAAGCCCTCTGAGTGATCTTGACCCACATACTTGGAGATTAAGTTATTATCCTGGTGATGGAGTTATTATCCTGGTGATGGGAGCACTGAGATCTCGTCACGTCCCTCCAACACTGGGGAGCCCAAAACTTTGCATGTTTGAGGCCCTGGTTAGAAGGTGGGGGGAACTTTGAAGTCCTTTGTTCTTCTGCAGCCCAGCCTCTGTTCAAAGCCTCTGTGCCCCTGGAGTTAATTCCTATCTCTGCTGAGGGGCTGAGAGGAGACACCTGATCCCTGGGCTCTGCATATTTTCCATCTCTGCTGGGAATTCCAGCAGGTTGGATTCCAGCCAGGGCTGGTCACTGCTGGCTGGGCAGCAAACCATGTCCTGAGAAATGGAATGAAGAAGTGCTGGGGGTAATTTCTCCTGACGCTGTCGTTTGGCTCAGACAGAGCCTCTAAAACCCCGACATTTGAAGTTCATCCTCAGTGTCCACATTCATGTTTAATTTGTCGTGATAATTGCTGCACATCCTGGCATTTCATGGTGACTTTGGCATGGAAATGATATTAAAATGTATGTTTGGGTAAAGAATTGCAGGTTTATGAGTGTTTGGATGGGCTGGGTTCATAAAACCGAGCTCAGCCCAAGCAGGAACGTGTTTTACTGTCCTTGCTCAGCAATTCTCACTGGTTTTAATTTTCTTCCAGCTTTGCAATACTCATGGAAATGTGCTGCTCTTCTCAGCTGCCTGTTTGTGTGGGAAGGGCAAAATTGGGGAATATCTGCTCTGCATCTTGTCCTGTGGCAAAGCTGAGCCCTCGTTTGTGGGCTGAGCCCAGGCTGTCACCTCCGAGCTGATTGTTCACCTCCAGCAGCGAAGTCTTGGACTAAACATCACCCACACTCCCCTCAAGCAGTGTCTTAATGACTAAAATGGAGCCTAAAATGTCCACTGGCCTCAGGAGGCACCATAATTGCTGCCCTAATTCACAGGAGTCACCGCAGGCTTCCCAAGCAGTTAAGTGGGTGCCCAGGGATGAAGATGAAAGGGGTGGGGATGTCACAGGGGGAGGGGAAAAGCAGAACAACACCAAGAGAGATTTTGGAACAAACAACAACAACAAGAGTCGATGGGTTTGGGGGGTTTTGCATGCAAAACATGGGCCATTAAGGGATCTCATGCATAATAAACATCTCTGGTCTGCAGGCAGCGGGACCGTGGTATAAAAGCCTATAGAACACAAGCCCCTTCCGTCCTCTTCTCGTGCCTTATTCTCCCAGGTGAATAGGTAAGTCTGAACCTTCCCAGTGCCTTTTTAAATGCTAAACTGCCACTTTGATGGCTGCTTTTGTTTTATTTTATTTTTTTTGTTGTTGGTTGTTCTCGGTTCTTCGTAAATAGTAAATATTGCTGGTTTCGTTGTTTTGCCTCCAGGGGAAATTGGAAACTTTGTACCGAAAAGAAAGGGTTTATTTACTTGTGGAGCAGAGCATGAGGAGACAGGACTTGGAGGATTCTGGCAATGTTCTCTCTCAGAACAAGCAGATTTATGCTCCATTTTAGAGGGTTTTTAGGACCACTGGGGGAGTGGGTGGCCACGAACCTGGTTGGCTTCTGCAGAGGGTTCTGGCTAAAGGCTGGAAACCCCTTTGCTGGTTGGGCTTGGACAAACCTTCCATGACTGGCACCACAGTTCAGAGGCCTCACAGAAAATAAGAGAAACCTCTCAAATGCAAAAAATTAAGTGTAAAACACCAGTTCCACCCGTGGGTTTTGCTGTGACAGGTGGTGTGACAGAGGTGGGACCTCCCCAGCCACCTCTGTAGGTACCTGGACATCTCTTACCCTCTTAGGTGACTTCTATGGACTCACTGCAGGTTTTAAATGGTTTAACCTTCTTCCCTGTGTTCCAGCCCTGCCTCTGCCCCAGAATTATGTCCTCCTACGAGCTGTGTCCCCCCAGCCCCTGCGGCCCGACCCCGCTGGCCAACAGCTGCAGCGAGCCCTGCGTGAGGCAGTGTCAGGACTCCACGTACGTCATCCAGCCCCCGGCCGTGGTGGTGACCCTGCCCGGGCCCATCCTGAGCTCCTTCCCCCAGAGCACGGCCGTGGGCTCCTCGGCCTCGGCCGCCCTGGGCAGCTCCCTCAGCTCCGAGGGGGTTCCCGTCTCCTCCGGGGGCTCCCTGGGATGGGGGGCCTGGGGGTCCAACCGGCCCTCCCGGCGCCCCAACACCTCCAGGAGCGGCTTTGGGGAGCCCTGCTAAGGCAGGGGGGAGAGGCAGGGACGACCCCCAGGAATGCTGGAGCACGACCCGGCCACGGTGTCCAGAGGTGATGCTGAACACCCACGACCCCACCTGAATACCCCACCTGAATTTAGGGGTCGTGGGAGCTTTGCATCTCCTCACGTCAGGCCTTTGCTTGTCTTATTCTTTGACCCTTCGTGTTTCTGAGGAAATATTTTGGTTGTTCCTACTGCTGTAAAAATGGGGCTTTTTTTTGTCCCAGTTCAGGGCAGCACTGAGAAAACAAACCCAGGATGAAAAGCCATATTAGCTCCTGCCTTGAATCCTAGAAACGTCAACTTACACTTTGTGCTTTTTTATTCTGCTTTTTTTGCTCTCATTAAAGTCATGTTGCATCACAACCCAAGTCTCCTGCTGTTTATTTGAAAAACTTTGCAATCTTTCAGCAAAAAGCTCACTTTTTGCAGAATTTTCACTCAAGTTTATTCTGAGCATGAAATTCTTTCTCTTCCTCCTGGGCTGGAAAAGTGTGGGAGGGATGTGTGTCAGTCCTGGGTCTGCAGCTCCAAACAAGAAGGTGATCTATCCCTTCCTAAATGACCAGTGGGAGTAAATTTAAATCAGGAACCTGGGACACAACTGCAGCCAAATGCAGGTGAGTTGATATCTCCTGGAGCACCTGGCAGGAAGAAATGACCTGTGCAAAGGGTTTATCCCAATTATTGCAGGCACAGCCCTGCTCCGAGGGGATGGAATAAATCCCACATTCCTCAGCCTCGGTGGCACCAAGACATTGCTCTCCCAGTGAGGTGGATCTCACACCCAGCACTAATTGCACTCTCCCAATTTGAAACATAATTAAAATCTGCATTTAAAAAAAAAAAATCCCTAAACTTGTTTGAGAAATAAATAAAACCGGCCTGTTTTGGGTGTGTTGTTTTGCAGAGGTTCTGGTGACTAAATAACTTCTCCCCTCGAGCAGAAATGAATTTTTGGTGTTGTTTTCCAGTTCTGTTCCCAGCAGAATTCCAGCACAATGACCACACCACTCCTGGTTCTTCGCAGGAATACTCCAGGTGTTCATCCAGGACTGAGCTACATTTATTTTTTGACAAAAAAAGGGAAATTATAAACTAAGATGCCAAACCAAAGCTCAAACTTCAGAGACTTTACAGTTCTTTACAGCAGCATTTGAATAACATCAGCAATGAGCTGAGCTCCTTTCAGGTACCTTGGGCAGGACACAAATGCCTGTGCTGGAACACCTTTGCCCTGGGGGGAGTTATTTGGGCAGCAGAAGTGGGGAAGAGCAAATCACAGGCTCTGCCTGCACCAGGAACCCTCTCGGATCACAGGGACACCTAATTCTTTGTAATGAGCTAATTAATTGCAATTCAGAACGAACTGCAGGGGACACTCCTGCCAGGGAAGCTCCTCCCCATGGGGATTTTGGGGTCACTTTTGTGCCTGGAGACTTCCCCCAGGGTATTTACTGTGAGTAAAACCCCACTTCAGTTTTGATGAAGAATCTCTTTTTTTTTTTTTTCAGAAGTTTAGTCACTCTCAGGTGTCTCAGGAGGATGTTCTCACATTATGCAAGAAGGTTTAATTATAATCTGAATACACAGGTCTGTCCTTGATTATAAAAGTCTGTGAACTTCTAATTCACTCACTTTAATTCATCTCAAAGCTGAGGCCATTAAAGCCATTCTGACTGTACAATGCAGTGGCTGGAGTCAGGACAATGTTTATTGTAATCATTCTCAAGGAAGGCTGAGGAAAACTCTGAAAATGGTGTTGCTGGATTTTTTTTTTAAACTCACAGTCAGATTTTAAAGGTGTTTTGTGTTTCCCAAGCAAACCTTGGATGAAGGGAGAATAAAAAAAAATTGATGACAATAAACTGTGGATGCTGTTATGCAAATTAATTCCTCAAATAGCTGCTAAGGAGGAAATTATTTTTGAAACAGGCTGCTAATCCCTCAGAATATGGAGAAGTACTGAGGAAAGGACAGGGCTGGGGAAGCTAAAAACAACCAGGGAAGTTTCTTTGTGAATCCCCTTGAAATATGAGATGGTTTAAACCAAACCTTGAGCTTTTTACATTGAATTTAAAATAAATAAAATAGCTGTGATTCCTGCAGCCAGAAACAATGACATAAATTTTACAGCCCAATTACTGCCCTGCACTCCCAAATCCTAATGACATGTCATTAAACAAGTGATATGGGAATTCAAATGTGGGTCACGTATCTTAAATTTGCACTTAATGTCACACTTTGCATTCTGGCTCTTTAATAAAGCTTCTGATAAACTTTGAAGTTCTCAGGAAGCTCTGACCAAGCCAAACGAGTTTCTGTTCCCAGGGGACCTTCCCAAAGACAGCCCTAATTTGGGGCTCATTTACATGTCTCAGAGAGCAAATCCCCAGGACTGATCCCTGTGTCTGGAACTGCTCAGGGATGTTTCCCTTCACCATTTATCCTGCAAGTCCCCCTTGGAGAAGAGGCTCCAGTTCTTTGTGCTGCTGGAAAGTCACAGAAAAATCAGCTCCAAGGGACACTTTATAGACTTTTGACAATTCTCCAACTGGGTCCACTGGTCTTTGACACATCAGAGCCAGACACTGCTGGGGAAATGGGTGTTGCAATAAAAGAAGGATTATTTAGGTTGGAAAAGACCTCCAGGATCATCAAATCCACCCTGTGCCCCATCCCCACCTTGTCCCCCAGCCCAGAGCACTCAGTGCCACGGCCAGTCCTTCCTTGGACACCTCCAGGGGTGGAGAAACTCTCTAGGAAAGGAAGGATTCTTGGATGGAACTTCTGCCTCCACAGCTGGGTTTGGCAAAGCTTTACCTGCTGCAAAACTCCTCCTTGGGAACAAATCTCACCAAGCAAAGCAACCTTTTTATTCAACCTGAACACAGCTGCTGATATTTTGAGCTCTGAGATGAGAATAAAAGTGGATTTTTTCCATGAAGAACTCCAAAGAGATCAGGCCCAGGATTAGAGACCCAGGAAAGGTTTCGGGGGCTGTAGCTGGGTGAAAACTGTAAGTGTTCTTGGCAATTTGCCTGTAAAATTGTCTCTCTTTTCCTTTCCTTAAAAGGAGGAATTTCTTGCTGGAGAGGGTGGTGAGGCCTTGGCAGGGGCTGCCCAGGGAGGTGGGGGAGTGCCCAGCCCTGGAGGTGTCCAGGGAAGGACTGGCCCAAATCTCATGGGTTCACTTCCAAAAGCAGCAATTGATGTTTTCCCCCAGGATTTACCTGGCAGAGGAGGGGAGCAGGGACTGCATTATGCAAATGATGCTTAATCTCCTCTAATGACCCCAAGCAGATCCAGAGGGTTTTGAAGGCAGAACAAATCCTTCTGAATTAATCATTCCACTGTTCCCAGGAATTAGGCTGGCCCAGAATATTTCAAGATGAAACAGTCTTGTGGTCAGATATACGTGCCACAAGATAAGGAAGTGAAGGAGTAATAAACACAAATACTGAGGCAAAAAAACATGTAATCAGTAGTGGCTCATAAATCACTTCATGCACAAAGAGTGGCCCAAGTTGTTGGGCAACTTAAGGCTCAGTATAAAAACCTGAGCAACTCCAGGCTCTGCCAGACCTTTCTCTTGCCTTCTTTGCTGTGAACAAGGTAAGTCTGAAGCCATTTATTCTCTCTTTATACAACAAACTATTGCCTTGATGGTTTTGTAGCTTTTTCTCACTCATTTTGTGGCAAATTCAGCCTTTTTTTTCTCTGAGGGAGGAAGGGGGTTTTGATATAAAAAAATTACATTTTCCTATTTCCTATGTTGGTGGTGAGTCATAATAATCATTAATATGCCAATGAGCCACGTTCACCATTTAGGGCTATTTATCAACTTTGGGATCCAATCAAGTTTTCAGGTCCTGCAGGTGCACATGAAATGTCTCTCGTGAGTTCTTGGGTGTGTTCAGAGTGGTGTGACCACGTTCCGCACAGACCAAGTGTGGAGGGTTCAGCAGATCAGCAGAACAGAATCCCAGAATGTGCTGAGCTGGAAGGGACCCCCAAAGACCATCGAGTCCAGCTCCTGGTCCTGCACAGGCCCATCCCCAAGAGTCCCACCCTGTGCCCCAGAGGATCATCCAAACCCTCCTGGAGCTCTGGCAGCCTTGGGGCTGTGCCCACTGCCCTGGGGAGCCTGGTCAGTGCCCAACCAGCCTCTGGGGGAAGAACCTTCTCCTGAGATCCAACCTGAGCCTGCCCTGGCACAGCTCCAGGCCATCCCCTGGGTGCTGTCCCTGCTCACCCAGAGCAGAGCTCAGTCCTGTCCCTCCTCTGCCCCTGCCCAGGAATTGGAACTGCAGTGAGGTCTCCCCTCAGTCTCCTCTGCTCCAGCTGAACACACCCAGTGCCCTCAGTGCCCTCCCACAGCTTCAAACCAAGGCCCTTCCCCATCTCTTTGCCCTCTGTTTGGATGCTCTGTAAGGGCTTCATCTCTTTCCTATATTGTGGTGCCCCTTAAGAACTTGGGTTCCTCCTCCAACCGCTCCTCACTCAGCTCCTGGAGGGGTCCCAGGACAGCCCCTGTTCTGGTCACTGGTGTGAGCACAGTAACCCCCCTCTCTGCCCCTGTTTCAGGTCCTGCACCCCCGGCCATGTCCTGCTATGACCTGTGTGCCCCCGGCTCCTGCGGCCCCACCCCGCTGGCCAACAGCTGCACCGAGCCCTGCGTGAGGCAGTGCCAGGACTCCACCGTGCTCATCCAGCCCTCGCCCGTGGTGGTGACCCTGCCCGGGCCCATCCTGAGCTCCTTCCCCCAGAACACCACCGTGGGCTCCTCGGCCTCGGCCGCCGTGGGCAGCGCCCTGAGCGCCGGGGGGGTTCCCATCAGCTCCGGGGGCTCCCTGGGACTGGGGGGCTTTGGCTACCCCGGGCTGGGCGGTGGCTACAACCGGCCCTCCCGGCGCTCCAGCACCTTCCGCGGGGGCTTCTACGGGCCCTGTTAGCGCTTTCCATGAGGGAAAAGGCGGGAAG